AACGTACTATATAGTAAGGAAGTATGATGGATGCAGCTATAGTCTTTGATAATACACATGTGCATGACATCACCACTTCTGAATGATACACAAAACTGGTTAAGTGATTATTGGAGCTAAACCACAGGTATTGGCCAGTTAGTCTTCCATCTTATAGTGTCATATACTGAGTCAATGTTAATATGACGGAATCAAATGCTGATAAGTTAATGTCTAATCCAGTCTGTAACTATGTTTACAGGACACTGAAGATTCGAAAGAAGGGACGTCTGTTTGACAGAATAAACCAAACAAGTCAAGTGCCTTAATTGCTCTTCTGCATTATTTCCTTTTGTATTCTCTGCTACTGTAGCAATTATTCTGACTGTTATTAGCCAGTGAGGACAGTCAAGTGTGGGAGTCTGACTGCAGTATCGCAGGAAGCATCATAGGGAGACTGACAGCCTCTCCTAAAGTGATCTAGAAGCCGCTGACAGTGTTAAAAGTGAAAGACGATGGTTTGTGCAATCGCTGTTTATATCTTGTGTTTGCATGTTCTCTTGAGACTCAAAGGGAAATTTCATGTTACAGAAATGCAGTACACTACAGTACAGTACACTACTACACTTCTGTAGTCTGCTGTTAACAAATGTGATGGTACAATAATAATAATAAAAATATGTATTTGACTTGTGTGTTGCTCTGTTTGTTGTTGTAAAGAAATACATATTACTCAGCAATGATGCATTAAAATGAGCAAAAGAGAGAATTTACAGTGTTATTTTGATCAAATGATGATCTAGGCATTGATGAATTATCCTTCAGACCGTTCAGAACAGAAAGCAGCTAATTTGATATAAATCTCCCAAATTATGACGTCACATCCTGTAGTGGATTATTTTTTGGAGGATGATGAGCAAGACCCATTCTTGGATAAAGCTGTGGAGGAATTTGAACAAAAGTTTGTCTCATATACGTACCTTTTTATCTGCTAAATTTAATGCTATCATCTGTACAGCTGGAGCAGACACATAAAAACACTATAGTCATTTATATTGTTTACATGTATCTATATTACATTTATATTACATTTATATATTTATTGACATTTTCTACTGATATTTGATTGGACAGATAAAGCTGCAGAATCACCCAATAGTTTATTTGTTTTTATATTTATCAGTTTTACATAACTTAAAGAATATTTCCATAAATGTGTCATACATGTCTGCTGTTTATTTTACTGTCCTGATAAGAAGCCTGCTAGAGAGCAAGACATCCTAAAGAGTGTGTGTGTGTGTTTGTGTAAGTGTGTGTGTGTTGTACTGAAGGAGACATGAAGACTGGAGCTGAATTTCCCCTCTCGTGCTCTTGACCACAGAAATATCCTCTTGTTTTGTCTGACCTTTGTTTTCTTGTTGCCTTGTTGCCTGAGATTTTGTTCTCAATTGTACGCATGTGCAGATTTCAAGTTGATCTATGTTATAACTAATCAGGTTAAACCATCTATATGTATGACGCAGTTAGAGACATTATGTCTGACTACAAGTGTTGTTGATTTGAAATTATATACGGATATTCACAATATCATATATCTTTCAGTATTTTTGCCCTCTGCTGTTCCTGACTGTTTAGCGCCATCTTGTGACTCAATAATAGCCCACACAACATTATTCATTCATTCATTTTTTTTTTCAGATAAGTCCCTTTATTAATCCGGGCTTGCACAGCGGAATGAACCGCCAACTTATCCAGCTTGTGTTTTACGCAGCGGATGCCCTTTCAGCTGCAACAATTCACCTGTACCGCATCTGCATGTTTTAGGACTGTGGGGGAAACCCATGCGAACGCAGAGAGAACCTGCATACTCCACACAGAAACGCCAACTGACCCAGCTGAGGGTCGAACCAGCGACCTTCTTGCTGTAAGGCGACAGCACTACCTACTGCCACTTATATATATATTTTAAATAAAATTATCATTATTAAACACACACAGGCATGCAGGCCCGGATTAAGAACTCAGGGGCCCCTGGGCACATTGTCTTGTAAGGCCCCCTACCCGGCCGCACCCCTATATTTAAATAAAAAAATAAGAATAATATAATATTTTTTTAATAAAATGAATCTAGAATTTGTTGCCCACATATTTAAATAAATGATATATAGTACAAGTATATTTATAGTATACAAAGAGTTAACTTATTTTTCAAAGCATTGAAAAAAAATACTAATATAACTAGTGAAAATTCATTTTATTTAGTATCCTTGTTCACGTTCACTGAATTAGTACTATATATAATTCAGTACTAATATATATATATATATATATATATATATATATATATATATATATATATATATATATATATATATTTTTTTATTTTTTTTTTTTTTAAGGGTATTTTTAATGTATAACTTTTACAAACGTATAAAGCATAATATTGGCATGGTATATAACACACAATGCCTCTCCAATCCAGTTCAATGAATCTGTGTCTTTCATAATACACACACCTATTAATGATTTAGTGTCTCTCTCTCCTCCTCTCCCTGTATTTTTTACTCTCCTCTTGATTATACTTAATTATAAACCTAAAAGTATCAGAAATCACACACACTATACCTCTTCTCCTCTCCGGTCTCTCTGTTCTTCAGGGCCTTTCTCTCTCTCTGTCTCCCGCTCTCCTTTTTCTGTCTGTCTCTCTGACATAATGAATCCTGTCCGCGCTGCGCTGCTGTTACTTTCCTCCGCCTGGTTAATGCTAGCTTACTCATCTAATGTTACCATAACGTTTTCTTCTATACCCTCATTCTGATCATGGGTCTGTTTAAAGAAGGTGTGTATGGAACATGCATCAAAAAGATGCTTTCTCTCCTCTTTCTCTCGCGTTTCTCTCCATCTATTAAATGTTCTCCACACAGAGGCATGAGGTCGGAGAATACGGGTGAAGTAGGGCTGGAAGATTGTAGATAACATTGTAGATATAAATCAATTCTATTAAGATGTTGCTAACATTTAACACCAGGTGGAAAATAACAGTTTATAAAATATAATCACTATTTAGATGCTGTAACACATGTAAAATAGACTAAACTTTATTTAGTGTCCTACTCACGAGGCACTTGTGGCTTTATATCACATTAACATTATCTTTTACAAAATGTTTCTTCCTGTTAAAAATGAATATATTTCCAATCTGATATGTTATGGGGAGAGCAAAAGTTGCACAAGTTCAGCCAATGGTGGATTCGAACCGGGTTGATCAATCGCTTCAAAAGATGTTGCTGTGCGCTTTAGGAGGTACGCCACTGACAACGTGACCTACTCCGTTCTTTACTCATGTTGTTTCTGTCAATCAAGCATCGATGATTGTAAATCGTGAATAGCTTATTCCAACTAGGAGCGCTATTTGCAATTAGCCTAAAAAGACTCTCCGAAATTGGCTTTTTTTTCCCCCACGCAGGGGCCCCAAGTGTGCACGGGCCCCTGGGCCTGTGCCCATAAGGCCCATTGGCTAATCCGTCCCAGCAGGCATGCACACAAGTTGTAGAGATGAAGCTCTTCTTCTTCTTATGAGTTTTATTGGCAGTTGACATACAACTTTTAGGTGCATTACCGCCACCTGCTGGTTAGGAGTGTGGGCCATGATCACACTTTCTATGCATCTTTAGAAAAGACAAAAACAAAACAAAAAAATAGAAATAACAAAAAAAAGCCCTACATCACTTATATATATATATATATATATATATATATATATATATATATATATATATATATATATATATATATATATATATATATATGATTTTATCTAGAATTTTTTTTTAAAAAGTATTAAAAATTCTATACAGTCCTCATCTGACTTGTTTTTTTTAGCATTTTAACCAAATTAAAATGCGTATTGATTCTTTTCAAATTTAAAATAAACACTTTCCTTTCCCTATTGTACTTTGGACACTTCATAATAACATGCTCCACGGTTTCTTCTTGCCCACAATAATCACAATTTCCAGTCTGATGTTGATTCATTTTGTACAATGTACTGTTGAGTCCTGTATGTCCAAATCTAATTCTTGATATTATACTCTCTTCCATCCTACTTCTACTTGTTATTCTTCCTTTATCCACATTTCTTTGTATATTAAACAACCACCTCCCATTTTTCCTTCTTGCCATTGTTTTTGCCACCTATTTTTTAAAAATCGCTTGATCAAAACCTTCATCTCATTTTTACTATATTTTAATTTAAACAGTTGTGAGAAACACCTACCCGATATGGTTATTAGTCCAACAGTACCATGGTCACTGCTGAATGCTGACTGAATACTGCTGAATGGTTACTACCAAAACCCATTGTTGATACATCACTGGTAAAAAGAAGAGATAAGAGTGCAGAGGGCAATTTTTAATATTCAAATGGTAATGGTGCAAACATATATTAAAGACAAATATTTTAAACGTGTAAATATATACAGATGCATCTAAAGATAGTGGAAATAGAGTGGGGGTAGCATACACAGTAATAGATTTTAGAATTAAAGTTATTAAAAGAATATCAGATTAACTTTCAGTGTATACTGGAGAAATGGAGGCAATACTACTGGCACTTCAATGGGTTGAGGAAAACAGACCGTTAGGAGCACTGGTATGTTCGGACTCAAATTCCTCACTGATGACATTAGAGAGTGGACATTTTGAAAGCAGAAAGGATATTTTGATCGAGATATTGCAAACACTATATCGCATTCAGATGATGGGATTAGAAGTTAAGTTCTGTTGGGTGCAGCTCATAGTGGAATAACAGGGAATGAGTTGGCAGATGAAAAGAAAGAAGCTGTTTGCTAAAGAAGCTACAAAAAAAATCAATTATAAACATGGAAATAAAAAAAAAAATCTGGATCCGCTGGTCACTCCTCCTCCTGTTGTCCTCTGTACCTGTGTGGTACAGGTGTCGCTCATTACCACTCACACCAGCGGCCTATAAATATAAATCAGTAAAGACGATGTGCACAGTGGCAGATGACAGCAGAATCATGGTCTCTCTCAGTTTAGTGCTCACCTGTGAGTTGCTTTTTGGGTTTGACAAGTTGATGTTCAGTGAATATACCTTTGGCTGCACTGTTTTGTTGGGAATAGTTTCCCTGTGGTTCAAGTTTTCTGTTAATTATTATGTGAATATGAATAGCAGTAAACAGGTGTCTTAATCAGTTCTTCTGTTTGTTTTTTAGTGATTTTACTGAACTCAAGCCTGCTGATATCAGTGAGTGGTGGACATGATGGTCACGGACATGGTCACGGTGGACATGATCATTATGGTCACGGACATGGTCACGGTGGACATGATCATTATGGTCACGGACATGGTCACGGTGGACATGATCATGATGACGGTCATGACTACTGCAGGAGGTCCTCTAGTAAGAGTTTGTTATTCTAAGACACCTAAATTTCGTTTCATGAACCGAGTGATGCTTGACATTATTTCTTTGCTCCATTAATGCTCTAAAGTGCAACCCTTTATTTCTCAGAAACTGTAACTGCATGTGAGGGCTCTATCCTGCGTCTGTCCTGTCCCGGTAAGATGAAGTCGCAATCCATTAAGTGTTTTGCAAATTCTGCTGTTTTAAATGTTACATGGGCTTCTTCCCCCCCCCCCCCCCCCCCCATTTAGCTTATTCTAAAATCAGGATCCTCGCTACCAACTATGGCCGTACAGATAGAAAAACCTGCATTCAGAACCGTCCACCACATGAAATCAGAAAAACCAACTGCCGTTCATCCAGCTCTTTGTCCATAGTGTCATCATGGTATGGATTTCACAGACCTTTGTTTGTGTTGTGCATTAACTGATCTCTGGTTGCTAATGGGTCAGTTTGAGCATATTGTAGCTACAGCTGGAATGAATCGAGTCCTGTTCTAATTCAAATGGTTTTCATGAATTGTCACTGTGTAGCTGTGATGGACGTCAAAGCTGCAATGTACCAGCCACCAACAGTGTATTCTCTGATCCCTGTTATGGCACATACAAGTACCTGACAGTCAAATACTGCTGCTCGCGTAAGTTATTATACTAGGCAAAGAAGCTGCATTGCTAGTGTTTTGCTTGCCTCAAGCTTTGGGTTAATTTTTCTTGCAGGTCGTAGGAGCTGATCATTTTGTTTGTCTGATTTCTCTGCCAGCGTCTCCCCTACATTGACATTCCACTTTTAATAAATGCTTAATGCAAATAATTTGTGTGGTTTTTATTATTATTATTATTATTATTTATTTTGTATTAAATCGGATTAATACATATTACATAACTCAGGAAAGGATGCTAAGTCCTGGAGATTTACCTTCCTGCTTAGTAAAGCTCCAACCCTCAAACACATCTGAACCAATTAATGATGACCTGAACAGTACTTGATGATTACAAGCAGGTGTGTTTTTGATGTGGGTTGGAACTGAAATCTGCAGAAAGGTCGAATTCTCTAGGTACAGGGCTGAGCACCACTGTACTAGGGCAAACATGCTGCAAAATACTTTACTTACTTTTATTTATTTTTTCTGTCCAAATATCTAAACTGTTAAATTTAAAACAGTTTTTTTCTAGACAATCAAAACATTGACCTGTTATCAGAAATAAGCCTATATTAAGTATTTGCTTAAAACAATCAAATCATGTTTTTCCTTTTGACCTAATAGGTAGGTGTGTTTGATTATGGCTTGTAACCATAATTGTAAGGAAGGTAGATTTCTTGAAACATGGTTTAGCACTCCTCCACTAGGGCAAATGTTTTTGGTAAAATGCAGTCAAATTTAGCTTACGAAGGCTACAGTTACTATAGTCCTAATTTTAAACTTGTCAAACATTGGAAAATGAGTTCCTGTAACTACTGTAGGATCTGTTTAATAACAATTGCTTTTGCAGACCAAATTACGATAATAAAATATTGGCTAGGTCTGTGTATTTTTTTTTTATTTTTTTAGCTAAATTTTAAAATAACTGAGGAACTGACCAATTCTCAAAAAAATTAAATAACAGATTTTGGCTGTTTTTTGTTGTTGTTAAGGGTAGGGAAATGGATAAATAACTTTTATAATTCATTAACATGTCGGTGGTTCTAAAAATGCTTATTTTCTCTGGTCAAACAAATCTGAGCTCCTGACGTTGCTCTCAAAATTATAGTCCTGTAGTCCTCTGCGAATCAGCACCCAGGCATTTAAATATTATTTGATGTTTGAAATCTATTATTAGACATTTATCATTACAATTTATTTAAAAAGTTATAGTTCACAGACAAATTTGCTGCTATGCACCTGATGCTGAGCAAGATTTCCGAGGAGCACCTGAGGTGCGTTTCCCAAACATCGATGTAACTCGCGACTGAACTCTGATAGCGCGATGCATCGAGTGTTCCCCAAAACCCGTAGTTTTTGTTGCAGATCCATCGCTTGAACTACGTTAGTTATAACGAAAAACGCCAATAATGATGCTCTAAACTGTGTGGAGTAACAACTTCTTTAGAGAAAACCCCATAATTGATTTGTGTGAATGACATGATATTGTTTACATGCACATACATTTAAAATAAAATATTAGACAAAAAAACAAAAAATAAATCGAGAGAAGAAAAAATCTATGTATGGAAAGCTACGTCAATGCACCGAGATATCGAAGTGATAATGGTAACTAAACCAAATCGTGAGACCAGAGTAGATTCACACCCCTACTCGTTACAATTGTAGACCTTTTTCTAGGCTGCTGCATGGAGGGCGCCATAGTGACCTGCGTCTTCCGGTAGAATGTTTAGAATTTCCATTTACATCGTTTACAACCGGTAAGTTGTGATCAGGGCCGGATTATCCAATGGGCATTATGGGCACGGGCCCAGGGGCCTGTGAGCATTTGGGGCCCGTGCGAGAGGCGAAAAAAAAAGTCTTTTTCTGAGGCGGAAAAAAAGTTATTTTCGGAATGTCGTTTTGGCACATCTGCTGGCCGACTACTGGAGACAATATGACTAAAGAGCAATAAAATTACCATCATCAGTGGTGCAGCGCATAAGCGCCTATCATTGTGTTTTGAGGCCATCAACTCGATCTCGGTTCGAATCCACCGTCTGCTGAACTCACCTTTATTTTTCTCCCCATCACATATCGTATTGGAAATACATTTAACAAGAAGGAAATGTTTTTTTTTTTATTAAAATAAATATGTATTTAACCTTTAGCCTTTTACAGATGTGCAAAAACAGTATCTAAAAGTTTATTTTATTGCAAATAATCTGCAGCTAATTTACAGTATAAAACAGCTTATTGTTATTTTCCACATGGTCTTAAATGTTAGCGACATCTTAATACAATTAATCTGTATTTAGTCACCCTCTTCTGAACCCTGGTCTGAAGCCTGATCATCTGCCACAACTAGCCCTACTTCACCCACTTTCTCTGACTTCATGGCACATAACCTAATGACACATGCCTTAATAAAGATGCATCTATTGCTTTAGACCAGGGCTCACCAATCTCGGTCCTGGAGGGCCGGTGTTCCTGCAGGATTTAGCTCCAACTTGCCTCAACGCACCTGCCTGGATGTTTCAAGTATACCAAGTAAGACCTTGATTAGCTTGTTCAGGTGTGTTTGATTAGGGTTGGAGCTAAAATCTCCAGGACACTGGCCCTCCAGGAACAAGTTTGGTGACCACTGCTTTAGACAATATATTGTCTCCTCATAGCAAATAGTCGCTACCATAGTATTATTACAATTTCATCTTATTATTATTATTAGATTATCATCATCATCATCATCATATTTAAAACATGAGAAAAAGGCACCATATATTATCAATTAAAAGCACGCAGACTTTTTTTCTTGATTTCTTTCTTTATTTTTTTTCAAAACTAAATGGAATGCTGTAATTGGTCAATCGTGGAAATGCAAGTCTAAAAAATAACGTGCGCTGCTGTGAGCGGACTGTAGTGTAGTAGGTGTCGGATATCGAAATGAGTGAAACAAGTGGATTAAGCAAACGCAAGCGAAAAAGAGAAAAGGAGGAGAGGGAGGCCTCTTTATTGAGGCATGTGCCATGCATTCAGACCTTCTTCAAAAGTACCCATGATGATGAGGAGGGGAATGAGGGTGAAGAAGACGTTATGGTGACGTTAGGTGATCAAGCTAGCGCTAACCGCATGCAGGAGGCTAACGGCAATGCGGCACAACATGAGGCAGAGGCTGTGGCTAGCTGCAGTGGCGGTAACAGCAGCAGCACAGACTGGGTTCATCATGTGTCTGACCCTGCTTTGTGGGGGGTTGTTAATGATGATGCTCGCGCCGTCCTGATTGATCGTGGGTCTCCTGCTTTCCACAACAGGCAGAAGAAATATCCAGGCTCAACCCGTGATGGAGGTTTGAGAGGGAAAGTGCGCTCCCTCACTAATGAATTGCTTCATTGCAAACTGCCAAATGGAGAAACAGTTTCTAGAGACTGAGCCACATACTCACCATCTACAGGTAGTATTTTTTGTTTTGCTTGTATGCTTTTTTCAACAACTAAAAAAATCTTTACAAGTGGCTTTTCTGATTGGAAACATCCCGAACGTGTGCGTGAGCATGAGAAAAGCACAGAGCACTGTAATAGCATGTTAGCATTACTTCGGCGCTCATCTGGCAGTGGAACCGTAAATGCTAAACTAGTACAACAGTTACAGGATGAAAAGCATTATTGGCGCGAAGTGCTCAAACGGGTTGTGGCTGTCATTAAATTTTTAAGTGAAAGAGGACTGCCTTTCTGTGGTGATAATGAAGTTCTTGGATCACCACACAATAGTAATTTTCTTGGCATTCTGGAAGTCATTTCTCAGTTTGATTCTTTTCTTGCTGAGCACATTAATAAATATGGACAGATTGGTAGGGGCAACACATCCTATCTTTCATCAACTATATGTGAGGAGTTGATTCAGCAAATGGGTGAAAAAGTGAAAGCTACTATAGCTGCAGAAATACAGCAGACAAAGTATTTTTCTCTGATAGCGCACTCTACTCCTGACCTGTCACATACGGATCAGCTGACGTTCATTTTTAGATTTGTGAACAAAGAGGGGAAAATCATTGAACGATTTCTTGGCTTTGAACCAATTGAGAGTCACACAGGGCAGAGTCTGGCTGACACTGTAATGGCTATGCTTGACAGTTTAAACTTAGATATAGCAAACTGCAGAGGCCAGGGATATGACAATGCAAACAATATGTCGGGGCGATATAATGGGCTACAGGCTCACTTGAAAAACAAAAATCCTTTAATCCATTACATACCATGCGCAGCACATTCCCTCAATTTGGTGGGGGTAAATAGTATAGAAGGCTGCTGTCAAGATGCAAGCAAGTTCTTTGATCTCATGCAGTCCTTATATGCATTTTGTGCAAGTTCTACTCATAGATGGAACGCATTTTTCAATAATGCAGACATCAAGGTAGACATGACATTGAAATTACTGTCATCAACACGTTGGAGTTGCCGTGCAGATGCATCTAAAGCCCTTTGTGGAAATTATGCACAAATCAGGGAAGTACTTCAGAACATGTCCTCTGATACAGGAGAAAAACGTGAAACACGCATGGAGGCAGCAGCACTAAACTCAAAATTGGGCACTCTTGACATGTCATTTAGTTTTGGCACTGTGTATCAAGCAGATTCAAAGTAACAAGTGAGGCATTACAAAAGCCAGACATGGATCTGATGACTGCAATTCGTCTGTTTGAGTCTTTGATTAATAACAGGTTTGGGGTTTTACTAAACCTGGACACTGAGGATTTGCCTACTGTTGTAAACATGCTGATGCACTCTGTGCTTGCTATAATTCAAATTTAGATCTGAACTTTGCTGATGAAATTATCCAGTTCAGATATTTTGTAAAAGGTGAGCTAGATAAGTCTCCTCAAAAACTGCTGCAGGTGCTCTTGAAACAGTCTGCAGTCAACTTTCCCCAATGTGTTTGTAGCTCTACGAATATTTTTGACATTGCCAGTTACAAATTGTGAAGGAGAAAGATCATTTTCACAGATGGCAAGAATTAAAAATGAACTCAGAACAACACAAACACAGTAAAGTCTCAGTGCACTGTCGCTGATGGCCATTGAATCTCAGCTGGTCAAGGAGTTAGACTTTGATGATATTGTAGCTGAGTTTGCAAAAAAGAAAAGCTAGGAAGAAGTCCTTCTAAGAGAAAGAGAGGTCCTGAAAAGAAGAGAGAC